AGATTGCGTCCGAAGCGATCCAGAAGGGCGTGGTTGACACTGTACACAGGGTTGAAAGGGTATATGCTTGACAGAATAAGATTCCACAACCACCATCCACCCACTGACAAGAAGATCGCTATCGCTGCCATTATCGATTTATGGTGCAGTTCGATGAACTGCAACTTCAAAGAGATGATCACGACACAGGCAGTGAATACCAGGGAGCCAAAGGCGTACAGCTCCTGGTCGCGGGTGAACAAGGCGAGGCCGTACATGCCGTAGATCATGAAGTAGACAAGAACTGCTTCACATACCGCCAGTGCAGACCACCTCAGATAGATCCAGAAGTTGAATCCGCGGTCCCGTTGACCGTAGTTGTAGAGTTCTGGCACTGCCAGCAACGTCGATGCAGCCAAGTCCTTCTCGAAGACCCCCAGGAAAATTACCGGGAGAGATGTGAACAGGGTATTGAACATGGACAAACTCCACGGCTCGTACAAGCTTGTGCCGGTGTATCCATTCCATCGCTGGTAGAGAGCCTGAGCATTGTAGAACATCATTTCTTTCCACAAAGTACCGAGAAGATACTTGCAGATTCGAACATAGTGCCATCGCCCATGCACAAGCAATAGTTTCAACAAGAAACGGAATTGCGCAATTGAATAGTCGGAGGTTCGTGCAGCTTGGAGACCTTCCTTGCCTGCGATTCCAATTCCCAGATGCGCCTCTTGGATCATAGCAATGTCGTTGGCGCCATCTCCAATAGCCAATGTCACAGAACCCTTGACTTTGGTCCTGATGGTCCGGACCAGAGAAGCCTTCTGACTAGGGGACGCCCGGCAGCATACCACGGAGTCAGCACGGATCGCAACGTCGGTGAAAAGCGCCCTTGTCGCACGGTCGGCGTCGATAATAGTCAGAGTTTGTCCATCGATAACTAACACGGAATGCGCTGTCTTCTCGTCGGCGATCTGAACAAATGCCTGTGCCAGTCGGTCATGCAAGTCCCCAAACTCATGGTCAAGGACAACGACAGTAGAATAATCCTTGATCAATCGACACGAGTGACCAATGTTGATGGCAGTCTCTCGTTTGTCACCAGTAAGCATCCACATCTTGATACCGGCTCTCCGGAACCGATCAATGGCATCCGGAACACCTTTCTGAAGTTTGTCCTCGATTGCGGTGGCTCCAAGTAACTCCAATCTGGTCTCAAGTAACTCCGCTGCATGTTCAATTTTCTCCTGCCGATCCACGATGCTTGTCGTCGCAGATAGATAGACCTCTTTCCAAGTCTTGTATTCATCTTCGGTCAGGTAGCGATATGCATACAGGAGCGTTCGGAGGCCTTCTGTCGCAAAGTCATCAATGTGCTGGAAACAACGTTCGAACACGACATTATCGTCTAGAACAAGGCTCTCTTCAACTAGATCCTCCGAATCATCGACTTGCATGGAAACACGAGGGGTGATCTGAGGCGAGTATTGAGCTTGACTACCCACGTGGCTTTCCGACTTGCGAGTTGTAATCTGGATTGATGGCCGAGGCGAGTAGAATTGAGAGCTTTTCCGTCGTTGAGAAGTCCCCACATCTCTTTCACGTTCTTTCAGCCAATGGTCAACGCTATCACGAGCAGTTCGAGAACGGTCGAAGGAGAAGCCGCTCGGTCTTGGTGAAGCCGCATTGCCGGAGCTTGACGTTCTACTCAATTGAGTGCTGCGCCTTCTCAAAGCTTCTTGGGCCTCGACACTTTTGCGCTGACTAGCTCGTCTTTCTACAGCTTGCACATTCGAAGCTGCCAGATCTGCTAAGCGCAAGAGTTTCCGAATGGTACTGTCCGCCCCCTTACTGACCAGGCAAATACGTTGATCGGGAAAACGTACGACGACCGACATTCGTTTCCTGGCGCTGGAAAACTCAATAACATCCAGCACTTCGTAGGTTTCATAGATGGGAGAGTCCTCATCTCCGTCAGAATAAGTCTTGATCGTCACTGTGTTGGACTGTCGATCGGTAACAATGTAACCCAAGTCTTGTGCGGCTGTCACCAGAGCCAGTTCATCCGGAGAAGCAGCCTGATATTCAATGTTTCCTTCATCGTCTTTTTCCGGAATACAAGTATGGCATAGAGCCAGTGAAAGAAGAAAGAATCGACCTTTCCGTGCGAAAGCAGTATAAGGTCGCCGATAGATGTAATCCAGTAGATCTTGGGTCTTGCCTGTTTCCGATGTCATGTCGAGACCGTTTGACGCTCTCCACTGGGTGTCGTCCGCACCAGGCACGTCCCTTGTCTGATTGTCGATTCTAGTACTGGCTGACGCAGTAGATTTCCGAAGAGCCCTAGATAAGGACGTCCGCAGCTTCTTCTCCGGGCGGTGTTCCTTTCCTTTGCCACCTCGCTTTTTGTGCCACAGCTTCTCGCGGCCAGCTCCGTCTACAGCTTCGTCTTGCAGGTCGAGGTCATGCAGCCACGCTGTGCCAGCGATGCTCATCTTCCGAAATTTCATCGAATTGTTCGTAAGTGTCCCGGTCTTGTCAGAAAAGATATAGCTGACCTGACCTAGTTCCTCGTTGATTGTCGAGGTATGCGGTTCCATCGGGGTGTCTGATTCAGGATCGTACATATCCACATCGTTCATCAGGAACATCTGGGCCAACTTGACGATTTCAAGTGACACGTACAAGCTCAGAGGCAACATCGTGTTCAGCATTATGATGAAGGAGGTCAGAACATGACCAAAAGGCACTTTCGCGTCCTGGAGGTACCACGATTTCTCCTCAGTTGTCCGACGCCAAATCTGATAAGCCACAGTCAGGATGATGGCCATGAAGATGACGAGGGACGCCACAAAAATGACGACTTTGTTAACCTTTGCCTGTAACGTCGGTGCTTTGATCCGTGGAGTCTTGTTAGCATTCATACGTATTTTGCACTCCTCGCCAGAATAGATGACCAAGCCAACTGCAGATGGAGTATTGCGTAGGACACTACCACGATACAAGACTTCCGAATTGGTCAGTGGTAGTGTCGATCCGTTAATCGTTACCCTGCCATCGAATTTGTAGAGATCCAGGTTCGGATCCTCGACCACGAATTCAGCACGGAGCCTGGCGATGGCATCGAGATCTTGACAAGCGGCACTCACTTCGCCGACAGGCTTTCTGGATTTGAGGTTCGTTTCACCATCAAGGCTTTTCGTCTCAACGTAAGCAGTGTTCGCGGGGTCGTCACTATGAAGCAGTAGCAAGTCGGCGGGAATTCCGGCATCTCTCTTCAGTTGTACGATATCGCCAACACGGATTTCGCTCCAAGTTTTCTCCTGCCATTCCGTATGGCTAGAGCCTGATGAGGAAATCCTGAGAACCTGCGTGATTCTTTCGTTCTCTTCCTTGTCCAGGCGATGTCTCCTGATGTCGTCATATCCTTCTTTGGCCATGGATAGAGCAACAAAGATCAGGAGCGGGATTATGGTGGTGTACGTCCCTGTGGTACTCAGACCGGGTATCATTTGAAGTATGGAAACGCACAGGAAGTAGAAGTTCGCGAGTTTTCCAAATTGGGCGACAAGCTGTCTGGGGACAAAGTTCCAGGGCGTGTAGCGACAAGAACGGATGACGTTGCTGATGTAGGGCTTGCCAGTCCTCTCGTCGAGGGCGTGATCAGCCTCTATCACATTCACTCTGATATGCCGTCCATCAAGACTGGGTGGAATGGTGTTGGCTCGAATGATTTTGTCCCGTAACAGAAGGTATCTTTCTGTGAGGCGCTTGAGTAGAGTTGAGCGAGAGTGATGTGTAGACATCCATCGTCGGTACAGCGGCAGCTCGAGGTCTGAATCCGATAATCGAACAGGTCTGCGCGCATCGGGTTCTTCTTCCGCCTCCTCAATAGTGATCGTGGTCGGGCGCGAGTCAATCTTTGGTGCGTTGGCCCCAGCCTTTGAAGGATCCATCTCAAATGTACCTGCATTGTCCGAAGCCTGCCTCTGGATATTCTGTGCGAAAAGCGAACGTCTGAGGGAGTATCCCCGGCTGCGGCCCACGGATGGGCTCTTAAGTATGCCAGCATGAGGACGAGCAGAAGTTTTGATCTCCCTCGTTCGTATATCCTCCTCTATCTCTCGGGGCAGTTCGATCGAGAAGCGAACTTTGGACGTGTCGCCGACAGAAGGTTTCTTCGCAGTCAAATCCGCCGTGTCTTGAGTCGATTCACCATTTGTACCGACGTGATGTGTGTCCTCGTTTAAAGATTCCCGCTCACTGTCGTCGCGATTTTGACCACCGGGGCCTTTTGACGGGTTTGCTGCCATTGCGAACCTCTCGAAAGGCTTCTAGGAGCGGGCGCAAAGGGGTGGTACGGCTTGATTGTTTCATCGGCGCAGTTCTCTCCGAGGGTTGAATTCACTTGTTGGGGGCAAAGAATGGTAGACGAAAAAGTTCCTTTGTGAAGAGACGGACTCGACGTAGGTCAACTTCACGTATCCGAAACAAAGACATTGCTCAGAAGGCGATGGCGACGCAGAAACGACGTGTCTCAGATTGCGCGGCTGTCCGAAGGGACAGTTGGGCGAGCTCGTGGAGAGGCGGTGGCAGTGCATTGAAATGTTGCGCAAACAGCAGATTCAACGGATCTCCGAACTGGTGGTGATAGGGCGTGTTCGCCACGCCCACCAAACAGGATCGCAGGAACCTGCAACAGCGTGGCAGCGGGCACACCCCGACGTCAAAAATGTGGGCAGATGGTGGGGTTTGGACGGGCATCGCTTGAGCCTCCCACTGCTCCTTGGGCGGGCTGTCCTCGGCGTAACAAGGTGAACAGGTGGGTGTGACATCACGCCCAGATCACCTTTGGCACCATGGCACCTACTCGGTAAACATGTCATCGTATCGCTTTGAGCCCAACCACTCGTCTTCCCTGATGCAACCTTTTCTAACAACTTTTCTCCCCACGGTGCTGTAACGAATTGCCCAAATGGGTCTGGTCTGTCTTTGCGGTTCACTTCCTTCTTTGTCGATCGTCAATCGCTGACGCAGTTCGTGCGATCGTCTTCACGTCGTCTACAATTGGCATGGTCGACAATGCCTTTTGTCGACTGAAGTTCCGCCATAGTTGCATCGACGTAGTGCAACGGCGTCTAGAGGATGAGGAGTAGAGTCGAAGGGGAAAGTGCGACAACACACAAGTTGGAATACCTTACCAGGGTTGCCGCAGGAGATGTACCAGATGTTCGACGGCATCTCCAGCACAAGAACAGGCCTTTTGCTGCTGGATTTCCCAGCCATGCGAGGTACAGTTGAAAGAAACCCTCGGCAGTCGTTAGGTCCATTGCTGCGCAGTATTGGACACACTCACTTCGTTCAGACCTCAGCTCCTGAGGCATTGCTGCCAGGTGCCAGCTCAGGTGCTGGTATTTCGATTGAATATGGCTGCCACCCACACAATCGAACCACTTTTCAACTCCCTGATCGATCCCTGGCCTTTAGATCGTCATTCGGCCGCTTGAGATATTGAGACTCTCAGAGATCCTAACGTGCTCGCAGTCGTCACTCAAGCCAAAAGGAAGAATCTCCTTTCGGAAGTGCATGAACCCTGCCCCAGTCACAGCACTCCCCTGAAACCCGGACCATATGGTCGAAGACACATGAAGCCTCCTGCTGGCCTATAGGCGCAACAATCGAAAGCAAAGAGTTCGGCGACGACAATCAAACAGACTTTATGAAGGCACAATTGGAGTTCTCTCCATCTTTTTTTCTCTCTTTCTATTCGCGGGAAGATGCCTCAGGACATATGGCACAGGAAGGGGAAATAAGGTGAGAACAAAGGTTTGCAGGACGAGAGGCTGAAAAAAAAGGGGGCCATGCCGGTTGAGAGTAGAAGATACCCGCTGCACGACATTGACAACATCGATTGAAAAGCCATGTCAATGATGGAGAAGCTGGGGCAAAGAGACTCTCCTCGCGGCAGAAGTCACGCAGACTCCGGACAAGAATGACCGACGGGGTGCGGGAGGGGGTAACTCAGGCCACGGGTGAAGGTCATGGAGAACGTCCACACTACACCTTGATCGTTTTCCAGGTGTTCAGTATTGTTTAGGAGCGGAATGATGCATCTCGATTTCCATCTTGGTCCTGAATCTGCCAGGGCTTATTAGTCGTCCCACGAGGTTGAATATCCACCAACAAGACACCTGCATGTCTTGGTCCCGGCAGCTTGCGCAAGGTACATTTACTGCGAAGAGGATACCCACAAGGTCGACACCCAGTTCATCATTGTCCATAGCAATCCTCGACCTCCATTTTGCGCTCACGTGGTTTGATATAGGGTCTTCGATGAATCCAGGGGAGTAGCAACCTTGTCTCTCGAACAACCTCGTTTCTGTTGCTCAGCGCAGCGTTATCGAACCATATCGTTCCCCTTCAATGGAGTTCAACATCCTGACATGTCGCAAAGACAACAGCGTGCCTCATGACGGGGTCGGTGAGGATGTGTTCGCATCATAATTCACAAAGGTATTGAAGAAGCGTGGCTTGAGACGTGGGCCGAAGGGGCATCAAAGTGCCTCGATGCAATGCGTTTACTGCCTTGTTACCAATGCCCTAGCGCACGAGCCACTAGAAGTTTTTTGAAGAGGAATTGGGAGGCGCAGGCTACCCTTGCCGAAGGAAAGGACCTCTCGTCCGACAGGATCATATCGGCCGTCCATCAAGCTCAATAATCCGGAGCAGTCGACGTCGAAGGATGCCCCTGAATTGATGACGACAGACGAAACATCCAGGTTAATGACCGAGAAGCTCGTCCGTGTCCGAAGAATTCGGCCAATCTAGTCTCCAGCACTCTGTTTCCAAAAGAAGTCATAACATCAAGACCAAAATCCGTGTTCACAGAGAGAGTGCCCACCCACCGGCACTTGGTCCCACCAAGGGACAAAAGCCAGGCCCGCTGATTTGGACGGTTCTAGAGCACTTCCCGCCCCTCTTTGATGCAAGTACCCTGATTAGGGCATCGTCAACTGTCCTAGGTTGGAGACAACATCGTTGATATCAGAGCACGCAAGACCACGGGCATCGGCTGATATGTCTGGACTTCGATCAACGCGCCAGGCGACGAAGTTCATTTGACCGAATCTCGAGTGAGGAGAAACGATGATCGAGTATCCTCATGCAAGTGCAAAGGAGCCATCATCAATGCGGAAAAGATAATGCGGAAAGGGTACGACGTGCTGTGTGAGCCATTGCGGACGTGGACGTGATAGAAATAAAGCTTCGGACGAACGACGGGCGGACACGGTCGGCCGTCTTTTGGTCAACTTCCCCGATACTCAAACAACGTCAGCTGATCTGGGTAATAAGCTGAGCTGACTTTGCACAATTCTTATCCACAAAAAGCTCCAGCCTTGTCTTTGACGTTGTCCATGTTGGCTTCTGGCGCAATGAAGGGTCCTTGTGCTATCTTTGCTGACAGATCAGAGCAATGCTCTGGTCTGCAGTTTCATCAGAGAACCCACCCGGTCGCAACGATATGCGCATTGCTCCAATATGGCCGCCTCACCCGCAGCAACAAGATATAAGGATGGAAGAGCATCGTGAAAAGAGAGGGACCAGAGGGTCAGCAGAAAACAATCAAACAAGGGGAGGCAAATGGCAGTGGAGAAATAACAGAATGGCCGACGCACACCAAACAAAAGTGACAAACTCAGCTTCAGACCCTTCATCGCTCCATGGCAAGACAGCTTTGGTCACCGGCGGTTCCCGAGGGGTTAGTATCTGCCTTCTTGCTAATTGAGACTCAATTGTGTGGAATGAGTATGATCTAAATTTTTTGACCATTCTCATATAGATCGGTGCCGGCATCGCGCTTCAGTTTGTCCGCAAAGGCGTCGCTGCCATTGCAATAACATACGCCACCAACCTCAAAGCAGCCGAGGAGACCTTGTCCCAATGCCGCTCCATCTCCCCGAACCTGAAAACAGCCGCTATTCAGGCCGATGTCCTCGATCCATGCGTCGGTCCGAAGCTCATTCCAAAGGTGCTGGAGGGGCTGGGGACAGACAAGATCGACATCGTCGTCAACAATGCCGCCCTCGTCAATGACCTCAGTCTGATGCAGCCGTTCGCAGACATAACCGCTGACGTTTTCGGAAAGACAATGCAGGGCAACGTCTTCGGAGCAATGAGCATCATCAACTCGGCGTTGCCGCATTTTCCACCCAAGGGTGGTAGAGTGATCAACATCTCGAGCATTGCCAGTAAAATGGCCAATTCGGATCCGCTCCTCACGTACGGAGCATCCAAAGCCGCACTGGACAGCATCACACGATCGTTAGCGAGTTTCTTGAGCGTCAAGACCGGCGCAACATTCAACAGTGTATCCGTGGGACCAACCAGCACGGATCCGGTAAAGGCGGTGGCCCAGGAATTTGGGGAGGCGTTTGTCGAGGACGCAACCAAGCTGTTCACGGTCGAAAGGAGGTTGGCAGAGCCCGATGACATCGCCTTTGTGGTCGGGTTCCTGGCAAGTGACGAGGCAAGGTGGATCAATGGGTCGCACATTGCAGCAAATGGTGGAAACAAGGAATTACTAGCTCTGCAGGGATAGAAGACCTCAAAGCAAACCGCAAAAGGCAGCCTAAATTTTCATGATAGCTAGATACAAGAGCTGATTGATCTCGAGGTAGTCTCTTGATCCTCGTCGGTCCCTTGTAGCCAAACGGTGTCATCGCGACCTGCAATTTCTCCGTCTTGAAGTGCTGTATGCTTCGAAATGCTCAGAATTTCCGATGAGAACGCGGCGAGTGTCGTTGAGCGTGAGAACAGGACGCTCCTGAAATACTCGAGCAGGTACTCATACTGGGCGGTTCTCGTCACGGGGAAACCTTAAGGGTAATGTGCCTGTGTGGTCACTGTGGGCGCCTTGCCATGTCGTGTGTCCAGTGCAAGAGAGCGCTTCTTGTGTTGCAGCCACTCAAAGATCGCAGGTCCCTTATGCACAGCTTTAAGCCTCTGAGTGTCACGATTTTGCTGGTCACCCTCAGAACGGGGCATGTCCAAGTCTTCTCCACTGCAAGGTAACGATGGCTTGGGGATCTTCGTGGCAGCATGTAGTCCGCGCTTGGGGCAACTTTTACATGGTGGTGTGATTCCGACTTCCGAAGTCTTCGCCCATCGCCTTGCATTTCTGGACGGCAGAACTCCCTTGGACAATAGCATATCACAAAGTGGTGTCTCGGTAGCTCTTTCCCTTGGATTCCGGCCACAGTGGAGCTCGTGCTCTATTGTATCAGTGACGCACATTCGATCGACCCACTCCTTCAACTCCAGGGCTGAGGCAAGGGTGGAAGCCTCCATGGCAGCCGCTGAATGAATACCAGAAAATCGTGGCCGGGTGGAGGGTCGGTCGTTCAGAGGAACCTCGGTTGTTGGCGTCGTAGGAGAAGGTAGCCTGTACTGGTAGGAGTACCTGGGATGTTGACAGGATTAAGGACGGTTGATGTAGTGTATGTTTATAATGATTTTGAAGAACGACCGAAAAAGAATATGTCATATGAAGAACAGAACCGCATTGAAGAGATGGCAAGTGATGTTGAAACAGTACAATTCTGGCTGGGTCAAAGATAAGGATTTTGAGAAGAAAGAATTGAGAAGTGTTTGCTTCGGGCGGAAGGCCCGTTCTGCAGCAGATTGAAGTCCAAGAAGTAGGAAGATGGGGAGGAAAGAAGAGCTGTTGAGCCCAAGAAACAAAAAGCGCGGTCGAAGATGAGAATATTTTGATCAACCCGAGTGGCAACCGAACAGCATTGTCTCTGTCCGTACACCTTTCCAACCTGACATCCTCCCTGTTTGCGAAGCAGGACAGCATAGAGTACAAAATCCTGAAGTATACATACCTTGAATGGAAACCGACAGATCTATAGTCGCCCCAATTTCCATCTAGCAATGCGCGACTGTACATCCTCCCATGGTATTTGCTTGACTTTTTTCCCACTCAAGTCTTCCCCCTCTTGGATTACCACAGTCGGTGCGCCAGTTCCGTGGCCATTGTTGTCCACCTTTCCAGTGAATATCTGTGTGGCCACTCGTCTCAGATCGGCAACTGTAAGGGCATCGATTTTTTCGCACATTTCCTTGACGCCGACCTTTCGTCCATGAACTTGGACTTGTCGGCCAAGGTCCTCCAATTCAACCAGCCTCGACTCGAGGTTCATCAGGAGGCTAAATCGCAGTTGGTTTTTCGCGCGATTGACTTCGGCAATGTTCAAACTGGAGAAGCCGGATTCTAATGTCAGAGCTTGTAGTTCCCGGCAAATCACGTCCACCATATGACCGACTCGACCTGGCTCACATGCCCCAGCGATGCCGAAGAGACCACTGTCGGTATAACTGT